CAAAAACTGTAAGCTCCTTAAAAAACACTGGCAGGACTTTCCTTCCAACCTAATGTAATACATGTTCAACGCAGCAGATCGATTTTGTACGAAGTGTTCAATGCTTCAGATTGGATTTCCTTTCATAGGGAAGGGAGGGCGATCTACAGCACAGAACACATCTTGAAGAACTGGAGTAATGTACGGTTGGTAACTCTAGCTAGTGGGAGCTTCATAAGTCATCTTTGACGAAAGAACGGCGGAAGTAAGCAATAATCACCTCAAGTAGAAGATCGTTGAAATCTGGAACGGAGAAGAGCCTTTCCCTCAAAAGTGAGTGACACAGTCGGTTGGTTTCTATTAGAAAATCCAGTTCCTGAACGAATCCATCAAACCGTTGCTAGGAGAACTAATGAAAAATCAAGTGAAAACCCAAACATACCACAATACTAGAAAGCTCCGCACTTTCAAACATCCATATGGCTGTATCAAGAGCTTTCAGTAGCGCTATGCTAATCCGTTGAGAAATCAAACGATTCAGATCAATAGAACGGCCAAGCAACTACAAATAACACGTCATTTACAAGAACCATACATACGAAGAATGAAATAAAATAGTCACCTGTACATGCCTTTGCCTGAGGACACTATCAAAACGGCATGCAGGAGGGGTTCGAATTGTTACTCCTGCCCTTTGACAGTCCAGTTTGAAACGTTTGTCGAGCATCATGCTAATACAAGACAGTTTCCAATGGGGCTCTGAGTGTAAGAATGAGAATAAACATACCAAGAAGCAAGTTGTTTGAAGTGTGTGAATACCATATCGGATAATTTATAAATGAATTGATCGAAGCACAGATTCACTTCGGCTTCCACCTCAAGATGATTTGGTACTCTTACCGACAGTAGACAAAATAAATGTCAAAGCTTAAAAGAAGTACCTCGTCGAAAAGGAAACGCTTTCGGAAATTAAAGAGACTATAGTTAGCTGCATCGTTATATAGATCAAGTTGATATAACGCTCCTTCAACCAGAGATGAATCGGGATTAGTCAGAATATGGTCGGTGAGAATCCATGGAATGGACATTTCTATGGGGAACTGCAAAGCCATTTACTGACCAAACGGTAAAATCATTCATAATTTAAAAAGATCATGTAAGTTGGCTTCAAACATTAACTGCTCGATGTAAAGCGAAACAGTCAAGGAATGGAATTAAAGCAGTGAAACGAAAACTACAGAGGAGATCAAGATGCATGAATGGGAACGGAAAAATGGATCAAAAAAAGTAAATAATGCGGAGAGGCGGCGGTGGTGTAGCGGCAAGTGAGACGCTTGCAACGCGCGCGGTCCGGGGATCCGATCCAGGAGACACTCGCCCAGGGCAGCCAAGCCTTGTGCCCTCTGGGACGATAAATTGACAGATTCGGTTGGGAGGACAAGAACACTGACTCGTACTTCTCCTATCCCCCACAAGTCATTGTATAGACCACATCGCATTCAATAAGTCCACTACGATTCTGAATGGAAGTAGAATGCGTGCCGCATCCCAAAAGGGAGTGATCAACGGCGAAGACTTCTGCTCTGAAAGAATGCGGCAAAACAAGCTCAAACTGATGTAGTGAAAGATTTGAGAGTATGTAGAACCAGGACTAGAGTAAGCAGTTCCGACGGAAAAAGTAAGTTTCCCCACTATTAGAGGCAGACCCACGTGAGTTAATTTGATATACGTTGTGTGGTAGCTAACTACACTAAGAAATGATTATTTCAGGACTGACCAAGGCGCTAAACGCCGAAATATCGCGATCAATATTCTGAAGAGCTTTTTTGAAACCTTTGCGCCTTTTGAGTTCTTTGGAATAAACATTTTGAGACATTTCTTTTGTTCTGAACATTTAGATAACCATGAGGCTCCGAGACAGTAAAATTCTCAACTATCGTAATGCATACAAGAAGAGAGGAAGAAGAGGAATAGGAATGTTTACCAAGATGACCTACGACCACTGTGTGTGAGAATCTTGGTCTCGAATTCAACTCTATGGTATGTCGCTGCTCACCAAAGAAGGATAGCGCGCATTTTATGGAAGGATTCCAGAAAAATCACCTGAATACGTTGTCCCATTGTCATTTCCAGATAAAACTCTCGAAACCAGAGTTGGCTTAGCTCAGCTGCTTCAGTTAATGGAATCAGAAAGTCGGAACAGGGCAGGCCAGTGGGTCGACTTACTGTAA